TAATTACTAATGAAATTGAAACTTAATTTGTTTTCTCTAAATAGTGTAATTGATGGAAAATAGAAAAAAATTCCAAAACAAAAGCATTTTTTTTTGTTATTGTGTTTAATGTGAGTCCATATTTTAATTATTTCATGCATTCTAAACTCAACTGAATTCTCATATCAATTAGAATAAAAATAATTTTTCTTTTTTTTTTAAAAAACAAAAACTTCTTCAGTTTTTCGTTTATTATCAATCATCATCTTTCTATTCATTTAGAAGAATAATAACGAACAATAAGAATGATGAAATAAAAAACGAACAATAAATATGTCTGTTTTCGACGAGAATTCTGATAAGGGAATGTGTGTGTGTGTGTGTGTGTGTGCGTGTCTTTTTTTTTCTTTATCACAAAAAAAAAACAACAAAGAAAGGTCAAAAACCAACAAAAAGACAGCTTTTTTTCTTTCTTTTTTTTCTTTTTGTTCTGAAAAAATTTATATGTAGGATGTTATTATATATATAAAGAAAATAACTTACATCGACAAATGCTTTTTAAAGCAATCATACGATGTTATGCACTGGTTTGTTTTTAATAGAAATAAGAAGAAGAAGAAGAAGAAGAAAAAAAACGATACAAGTTTGGAACTGATGAACAAAAAAAAAGAAAAGAAAAGAAATCAATGAATGTATTTAGACAAAATATAGGTTAAAATTCAACAGGTGTAATCCACATTTTACTGTTGTGAATGCCAAGTCGAATTATTATGTGTACGTTGGTGTTGATAATGATGATAATGATTACGATTATTATTACCAGCATATGAAGCACCATTTCGATTATCCTTTACAAAAAAAAAAAAAAACAAAGTGTCTACTCTTATTTATATTAAAATACTTACACGATTATCAATTGAAGGATAAGTTATAGTTCGATCATGATGTGAAGTATAATAAGTTGGTACTGTATATAAAACCGGATTGAAATAGTATGCTGTTGCTGGACTAGTTGGTGTCAATGGAGCTCCCTGAGAGAATGAAGCTGCAGTCGCTGATAATTTACTTGTTGGAGGAATATCTTTCGTTGTTTGAGATACATTTAATAATTCATTATTTGATAAACGATTTTGACCATAATGAGCAAAAAAATCTTTATCATATGAAGGTCGATCTAAAAGATGAAAAACATATTATTAAAAGTTTTCAAAACAAAAAAATAAAATAAATACCATATTTATTAGATTGAACAGTAGTAGGATGATATTGTTGTTGTGTAGTATATGTTGGCATATAATCTAATAGAAAATGAAAAATATTTTATTAATAATCGAATATAATCTTACTATTTGTTGGATATGTTGTATAAGGATCAAATCCAGCAGTTGACCAAGAATCAACTTGTGTTATTAATGGATAAATCTAAACATAAATTTTAAATTAGATTTATTAGACAGAATAAAAAAAAATCACAAGACCTATTTCGAACTGTACTTTGATATTCTCAATGAAATTTTCTAAACGGAATTGCATAGTTGCCTCAGAAGATACGAAATTTTTGTATTCGATGACTAGTACACTCTATACATTTTTCAAACTACTAGAGTCCATCGGATCTAAAACTTTTGGGCCTGGACTCAGCAGGCTTTACCGAAGGTGATGGAGTCTTTCCGGAATTTGTAGCCCCATTGCACCATGTACACAAAGTGAAGGAAAAAAGTTTAGAAACAACGATTTTTTTTAGAATGTTAAACACGTAGCTCCAATCCAAATAGTGATTTTAATAACCAATGAAGTTTTCCATCCAATACACGTTATAGCAAGATTTCACAGATGAACAATGATGGCAAGGCTGCTAAAAAACCGAACGTGGTATTTTAAAGAACACAAAATTCTGAACAAAATGAGAGATCGTCGAGTTTTCTACGATCTTCTAATAAAAAGTTACAAGCATCACAAAAATCATCTAAAAAAGAAATTTTTTTAAAAATCGCTAAAAACGCTTTTTTTTATAATTTTTGTAATGCTTGTAACTTTTTATGAGAACGTCGTAGGAAACTCGGCGACTCCTCATTTTGTTCAGAATTTTGTGCTCTTTAAGATGACACCGTTCAAAAATAGTTCTGTCAAAACTTTCTGGAACCTGAAAAATACCATGTTCGGTTTTTTAGGAGCTGTGCCATCATTGTTCATCTGTGAAATCTTGCTATAGAGTATATTCGATAGAAAACTTCATTGGCTATTAAAATCACTATTTGGATTGGAACTACGTGTTTAATATTCTGAAAAAAACCGTTGTTTCTAAACTTTTTTTTCTTCACTTTAAAGTGTACCGCAAAAGTTTAAGGCACTTTTATTTTTGAAGTTTTTCATCGAAGATAAATAGCTAGATCAAATTCAAATAGCGATTTGGATAGTTCTTGAAATTTTCTATCGAATAGAATATGTGTCAAATTTTTAAAAGAAACTTTATGAAGAGAGTTTTCCAGAAAACCGTGCCAGAGGAATTTCAAGGCTTACAGGATTTTGATAGAAAGATTTTTCAATATAAGCATCTGAAAGAGCAGAAAATTTTGAAGAAAACGAAGGGTCTTCCAACTCTGTGCAATATACCGTCACAAAGTTATAAGCATTAGAAAAAATGCGGTTTCAATCGAATTTGAGGACTTTTCTTGATAAAAATCGATGAAAAACGCGTTTTTTCTAATGCTTATAACTTTGTAATGGAGTGTCGTACAGAGCTGGACGATCCTTCATTTTCTTTAGAATTTCCTGCTCTTTGAGATAAAAAAAAATAAATTTTCTTTTACTCTAAGTATCTATATTATGTACAAAACATTGATTACAATTTCAATTTTTGATGAATGATTTAACATAAAATAATTAAGAAAAAACAATATTCTTTACTGTAGGTGGATGATAAGGATAAGTTCCAACAAAGAATTGTTGTTGAGGTTGTATTTGATATGATGCTTGTTGAGAATAATTTCCTGGTTGAAGTATTGTTGATTTAGGAGTCGTTTTATAATTTGATGATTGTTGATTCCATGTTGATCCTGCTTGAGAATAATCTCTTGGTATTGATCTATTAGAAAATTATACAATAAATATAAATATAATATCAAAATTATTATTACGAATATGTGCCAGGTGTATTATATGGTGTAAAAGCAGATGAATTACCACCGGGACCGTTACTTGTATTAGAAAAAGTATTCGATATAAATGAATTATTATTATTATGAGATGTTGATGTTGGTGGTAAATGTGTTGTATCAGTAAGAGATGATGAAGATGTAGTCGTTTGTTGTTGTTGTTGTTGTTGTTGTTGTCGTAATGAATCAGTTAAATGATCAGATAGATGAGAAGTTCTTTCCAAAGACATAACAGCTAAATTATTTGCCTTAGATAGACAAAGAAAAAAAAAATTTTTTTTTGTTTTTTTTTAAATGAAATTATTAATTACTATAGAATTATCCATTATTGGTAATGATAATGATGATATTGAAGATGATGAAAGTCTATTAGTAGTTTCAAGTAAATCTCTATCGATATCATTAGTTGTTTGATCATTAATATAATTCGATGATAAATTATCTTGAATACTAAAATTTTCAAATATCGTACATTAACATCTGTTACACATGTTGTGAAAATTTCATCAAATTTAGAACTATGCTAATAAAATGTGCGTATTGACTACACTACAAATCTTTACTTGAGAAAATATACAAACTGTTTCCAACAGAGAAATTTTTAGCAAGAGCTCTACGATTTATTATTCTCTAAGATAACAGGAACTTGGACATTCTATAGATCTAACGAGAGAATCTCTCCAAGTGGTAAAAATTTTTGAAGCTCAAATTTTGCCTATAGATAGAAGATGTATAGACTAGAAAAACCGTAGAAGAAAGATATGAACGAAACTTGCGATTTACATTTTACTACAATCTTCCTATAGGACTCGATTTTTCCAATAAAATTAAAGTTTCAAATTTTGACTTGAAGCTTTACATACATCAACGTCTTAATCAGACTAGCATGCCTACAAAGTTTTAGAATTATCTCCGAGATAATTCAACCAGAAATTTTGAAACTTTGTCGGCAAGCTTGTTTAATTGAGACCTTGATGTATGAAAAGTTTCAGGTCAAAACTTGAAACTTTAATTTTATTAGAAAAATCGAGTTCTATAGGAAGATTGTAGTAAAATGTAAATCGCAACTTGCGCCCATATCTTCCTCCTAGAATTTTTCTAGTCTATACATCTCCTATCTATGGGCAAAATTTGAGCTCAAAAGCTTTTTAGCACTTGGAGAAGTTCTTAAATACTTCGACCAGGGCTCTCGATGTGGGGAGAGCTGACCCCCTCCGCACAAATTGAAAATCTGTTTTACTGTTTGGTCAATTTTTAAATAGGCGCTGTTTGTGGGATCTTCGCAAGCTAC